TGGTGATGGGTCCCCTCCCTGGCTTACCGGGGCTGCTCCCCCCGGGCTGAACCAGCCAGGCCTCTCCCAGCCATGCCTCTCCTGGAAAACACAGCCCTGTCGCAGCAGCTCCTACAGAAGCAAAGCCAGAGAAATGAGAACAAATGATTAAAAAAAAAGGCCTTTTCACTGCTTTTTGAGCAGCACACGGGCTGCCCTCCTCAAGTGCATACCCAAGACCCAGTTTGCGACCCCTTGGCTTTGGCTATCAGGAGCCAAAATCAGCACTGCAGTTTGTCTTTGCAAAGAGTGGCAAACCCCAGCTGCCTGCACATTGTCTGATAGTTCTGTGCCCCCAGGAAAAGTATTTGCCTCAATGGCAGCAGCCCAGCTGTGCACCCCACAAAAGCCTGAGCTACAGTGCACGAGTTACTGACCGAGAGATGCTAAATCCAGAGAGCAAGATTCCCCCCGATGTTCACAACAGTAATTATATAATAACATTTGAGATTTATATGGCAACCTTCTCATTCCTCCTCTGTGCTCTCAGGAAAATCTCTCTGCACGCAGTTAATTAGGGCTCCATTAAGATATTTTTGTTTGGTGCCTCTGTTCGGAAAAGAATAGATTTTGTTGAACGTTTCAGAAATGATTCAGTGCCTATTTATAAAACACAGCACATGTTCTGGAGCTGCATGGATAAATACCAGGCTGTCAGTCAAATGGGCATCGCTTATTAGACATGCTATTAAAAAATAAATTGCATCCTCGGTGACAGAAAACAACTGAGCTGTCAACCAAACACCGGGGGCCGGCGGGGAGGGGTGCCTGTTTTACTGCTTGAGCCTCTGCTCTCCATCAGAAGAGGAATGGGGTGATAGGAATTAGTGACAAGCAGGATCAGGCTTGAGAAAGGTGGCTGCTCCTTGCTGGGGCTGGGACTGGGGCTGGCAGTGACAGGGTGGGATAAGGCACCGGCCCCAGGTCACCACGAGCATCTCGGGAGCTGTGGGTGAACGTGGGGGTCTAAGCCACAGTCATTGTGATGCTGCTGAGGCAGCAAACCACTGGAAATTGTGTTTGTTTTTTTCCTTAAGTGCTGCATCTTGAAAGCATTCACTCATGGAGATTTGTGCAAGGACATGACTGGTGAAGGGGGAGCCCTGGCTGGCAGCTCTGGGGAGCAAAACCAGTGGAGACTTAGGGGGTGCTGGGTGCCTCTGTGGAGGCAGAACTGCTTCCTGCTCTTCCTCCTTGTGTCCCAGCCTCACTCTGCACTGCGAGACACTGTTCTGGGGAGGAAAAGCTGCTGAGCTGCAAGTGAGGCACGGTGAGTTGGGGGCAGAGGGTGCCGTGGGCACCCAGCACCCCACAGCCCTCGCAGCTGCCCTGAGCTGGACTGGCAAGGGATGAAATAAGCCTCTGAGCCCTTCTCTCTACTCTTCCCTTGCCCAGAGACCATCACCAGGCTCTATATCTTCAAAGTTAAGTATTACAGGAATGCTTGGCACCTCTACCATTCCACAGTCCACCAGCACCCTCACAGCCTGCCCCCAGCGAGCTCTGGGATTCCACAGGGATCTTCCCGGGTCGGAGGGGTGGGAGTCAGGGTGCAGCACTCTGCTTTGGGTGCCTTGGCACCTCTTCCTCGCTGCAAGGAAGGCTTGGGAGCCTCCCGTGGCTCGGGGGGTGAGGGTGCCCACCCTCACCTCGTGCAGAGGGTCCTTGCGCACGTTGCGCCCGGCCAGGGGCTCGTCGTGGGGGAAGACCACGGAGTAGTTCTTGGCATAGGACTCGTGGCTCCTCTCCCGGATCCAGCGGTTGTTGTCCGTGAGGGAGTGGTGGAACCTCCTGGAAGGCAGGGAGAGGGCAGTGGCTGGAGGAGCCCACCCGCTCACCGGGTGTCTCCTCCCCTGGGCACGGCCCTCTCGGCCAGAGCCAGGTGTGGAGGCGGCTGCTGTGGTGTAAAGCTGCTATTCCTGCTCCTGTTTTGCAGGTAGGAGAGCAGAGGAACCACGAAGGGCTTGGTGCTGATCACTGGGAAGGGCTGCCCAGGGAGGTGGTGGAGTCACCATGCCTGGAGGGGTTCAAAAAATGAGTAGATGCAGCACTTGGGGCTGTGGAGTAGTGGTTAGGGAGATGTTGGGAGGAACTTTGGACTGGATGATCCTAGAGGTCCTTCCCAACTATAATGATTCTGCCAACCAGAGCCACATGCAGCCCCCACTGAGCTCTCCAGCCCTGCTCCAGGTGTATGTACCCCAGAGCAACAGGGAGCAGAATACAGCCCTGATAGGGTGAGGAAAAAAACAGAATAAATAGGAAATTGGAGGTTAATTCTGCTCCACTTCAGCATGGGGCTGGTTTTGGAGCACGCCGCACCCACAGCCCTGAAGAGTGAAAGAGCCCTGGACATTCCTTACATTTTTCATCCAATTCTCCCCAGGTTGAAATATAAATAAAACCCAAAACATTTTAAATTTGTTTGACATATTTTCATCTTTCAAACAGAAAAGCTCCTTGAAGGAATGTGCCAGCTCAGCAGATGCTCAGGTTATTGTTCCCAGAGATCTATAACCCAGGGAGAGCAGCCCCGGGTGCCGGTGGCACCTTTCCTGGGGCTGATGAAAGGGAGGCAGCAGGTGAAAAGCAAGAAAAAAGTCATTTATGGGGCCTTTTAAAACAATATTTTCAGCTTCCCTCACTGCTGCCTGGGTGCTGAGAGGCAGGGCACGGGGGCCAAGCCCTGGAGTGGTGCAAGCAATGCCAGAAATGCTCCCCAAAGGCAGCCGTGGGCTCGCTGTGAGGGCAGCTGCCCCTTGTGCTGGCATGGGACAGGCAGCAGGTGACACGTGGCATGTCACCCCCACCCCCGGCCACCCCCTCAGTCCCAGCCCCTTCACTGATGCACTGGGCTTCTGACAGCAGCAAGAAGAGCAACAGCTGCCAGAGGAAATATTTACCAGCGGGTGCTTTGAGAGGATAAATATTTAAATGTGCAGAAAAGGGAATTATTTAAAGAGGAGCTTAGTAATCATTGCCAAAAGAAAAAAGACAGGACTGACATCAGCTTGGTGACAGGGCACATGGGGTAGGGGATGCTCAGGTAGCCCAGATGCAAAGGCTAGAAGCCCTCGGCCACTCTCTGAGTGGGGCTGGGGTCCTCCAGTGCAGGTCAGCCCCTGGAAGGCTCTGTCTGTGCCAACCTGCCCATCTGACAGGGCAGCAGTGCCTGCCCAGCCTGGGGTTTTCTCCTTGCTGGGCTTGGCCCATTGCTGGCTGGGCTGCAGGGCTGTTGGAGGCACCTCCTCTGACTCTCCTCCTCCCAGCCTGGGTCAACAGGGTGTTTGTCAGCTTTGCCACTAAGACAACACGAGTTTAAAAGCTTTGTCCCTGGCAAGGTGGTTGCTGTCACTAGCAGCCCTATAAGCAAGCCCAAACCAAATCAACTATAATCAAGTAAGTCAAAAGCAATTACAGAGCCAACATCTGCACAGGCAAAACCCCCGGCCCCGCGCCGTGCTGCGGAGCAGGGGGAGAGCTAATCTCCCTCCTGTTGAAATCATCACCCTCCATTATTAACTTAGAGGATTAGGCACGGCACTAATTGAACAACAACAAAACCCAAACGTAATTACCCCGTCCTTTCCCATTGCTGCAATCTCCTCCTGTCTGATGGAAGCTGCTGGCGCAGGAGCGGGACGAGGCAAATGAGATAAACCCCACGCGTAAATTCGTTAAAGCCATCAAGCATAATTGATTCCAGCTCCTCAGAGGGACCCAGGCTGAGGCACAGATGCTGCCCGACACCCGCTCTCCATGCCAGCATCCAGCCCTGCCTTCAAACCCATCTCCAAGGACCACCCAAGGGGGAGGGGTGCCAGCGAAGGGGACCCGGGGCAGCCGGGGTGACTTGCCTGATGTCGTAGCCATACATGTCCTTCTCTGGCCTCCCGTGGATGATCCAGTGAGCCAGCTCCTTCCCACAGCCACCCCCCAGCATCATCCCTGCAGGAAGAGGCCAGGACCCAAGATGAGGCCAGGCACGGCTGAGGGTGCCGGGCTGTGCCCAGGACACGATGCCCGCGCTGGGATGCCCAGGGTAGGGTCCCTCCAGGGCTCTCTTACCAGCACTGTTGAAGCCACAGCCCAGGAAGAAGCCTCGGACCTCTGGGGCTTCCCCCATGAGTGGCTTGTGGTCAGCTGTGAAGGATTCTACAAGACAGAGAGGGAGGTGTGTCACTGAGGCCAGGACAGGCGTGCTGGGGACACATCCCATGCTTTAGGACCAGAGTTCCTAGAGCTGGTCTCAGCCTGCTCCCAGACAGGTCAGTGGGGCCAGAATTGGACCAACACCATCACTTCCCAGCACCTCAGCTCCAGCATCCCCCACTGGTCTCTCCAATAGCACCCAGGCAGCAGAGGCCAAAGGGAGGGTGCCCTGGCATTGGGATGTCCAGCATCATGCAGGGCTCTTCTGCAGGCTCCTAAAGCAAATATACATACTTATATATACATATATTTGCTGCAGAAGCTTGCACGAGTATACACACATGAGCACACACACATAGACAAGCACATCACACTGCTGCTGGCCCAAGGCAGCTCCTTTGTAGCCCTGTGCATTGTCCAGGCTGCCCTTGAACTGTTGAGACCTCGAGCTCAGGGTGACTGTGTCCCTGCACCCTGGGAGCCTGCTCCACACCCACACTGTGAGGGGAGCACCTCGGGGTGGGGGTTTAGCCTGAACATTTGTGAAGCAGAAGGTGCACGAGGGGCTGTGGTGGCTGAAGCAGCCTCGTGGTTTCTCCTGCTCCCCCGGTCAAAGCAGCTGCACAGACCCATTCGCTGCCTCTTCAGCATCTGGGCCATATTTCATTTTTATCACTGTGTTTCACCTTCATTGATTTCCACTGGGAAATTTCACGAATTGAAGGGACTTGACTCAGCTGAGGGATTGCTGCTGCCGTCACCCAAGGCTCCTGTGCTAATGACATCTCCTGCTGCCAGCTCCTGTGGCTACCAGCCACGGCCCCTGTGCAAACCCCTGCTAGGGAGGACAGAGCAAAACCCCCTGAGAGAGGTCTGCAACCCCCCCTGCCTGATCTGTGGTGGTGCTTCCATCCGTGTGAAAGGACAGAGGGAAGACAGTTCAGGCAGGTTCTTCCCCTGCTCAGCAATGCCCAGCTTGCTCCCCATGATCTGTGTACTCTGGAGAAGGCAGGAGGAAACTCAGGAGGTTATTTCATGAAAACATCTCTGTACCCATATATGAAGCTACAAATTCATAGAATCCTAGACTGGTTTGGATTAGAAGGGACCCTTAAAGGTCATCTAGTGCAACTCCCCTGCAGGGAGCAGGGACATCTGCAGCTAGAGCAGGGGGCTCAGATCCCTGACCAACCTGACCCAGAATGTTTCCAGAGATGGGGCAGGGAGCACCTCGCTCGGCAACCAGAACAACACCCAAAGCACCTCCCCTTCCCTGAAGATGCTGAGTGCTCCTTGGCCTGGCTGGCTGCAGGGCTGGCTCAGGAGCAGACAGAGCTGAACCCCCTGATTTGGGGCGTTCCTGTCCCCTGTGCATGCAGCAGAGCACGGGAGCTGTTCTGGCAGTGAAATATTTACTGTGCAGCAGAAAGGACAAGTGTTTGCTCCCTGCTTCAGCCCAACGTGACGCAGCTGTCGCAGGCACACCAGCTGCTGGTTGGCATCAAGAAGGAGAAGAGGAGGAGCACCGACCCCTTGGAAGTTAAATTACAGTTATCTGGAAGAAGGCAGCTCCCTGCTGGAGGCCACCAGCTCTGTTTACACCATGGTTCAGTCAAACCCACCATTCCTGGGGCCAAGTCCTCTGCCTTGTACCTGCCATGCTGTACCTGCTGTGGGGCAGGAGATGTGTCCTGCTTTCCCCTCGTACAGCAGCACTGCTCCCTCCCCAAGGGCCTCCAGGGTTTCCCTTTAAGTGCTTCAGCAAAAAGGGACTTTTAAAAATTGTTTTTTTAGCATATGCTGGATTTTTTGGGGGGGTTTGATGGATGGCATCACCTCCTGCAGCGATGCTGTGGTCTTTAATTCCACCCCAGACAGCTTGTGATATAAATCTGGCTGAATCTAATGAAGCAAGTAGTAAAAATAATAATCTGATCTAACACTCGGTAAAACAATGGCCACTACTTGAAAAAAATCTACCCTTTAATCCTCCAATCCAGTGCCCACAGCCTCGGCTGTAAATCTGCACTAGCCAGCCCCAGTTAGGACCCAGCCAAAACACTCCCAGCTATTTCTCCAGCTAGGCTGAGCCTGGGATGCCACCCCTCGGAAGATGGCACCACTGCAGCCAGACCTCAGCCTCTTTCTCTGCCTTCAGGGAGTCTCTCCCCAGGTTATGGGGTTTCTGCTGGCCTCCAGCAAGACCCCAGGAGGAACCAAGCAGCCACCGCTGCCACGTTACCTGGCCCACAGACCGTGGATTTAATGCCCGTTTTCTCCAGCACTGGTACTCTGTTGATGGCACCTTCGATGTGTTGCATGAAAACATCCCAGTTCAGATCAAAGAGGCCAAAAGCAAATTTCTCAGATACCTGAAGTCAGGAAACAGGAATGAAGACACAAAACAGAGTACAGCTGATGGAGTAAGAACTTTGCAGCTCTGGCAGCCCTGGAGGCTGCAGGACATAGAGGCTGCTGTGCAGCTGGTTCCTTTGGGTTTTCCTGAACAGCCAAAGGTCTGAGGCAGAGCCCGAATTAAGGCACCTGCACCTGGACAAGGGGATGATGCAGCAGAGCAGGGAGCACATGGTGGCCTCTAAATTTCCCCAGCCCAGCCTTTTCATCTCATTCCTATGCCTGAGGCAGACCCAAAGCAGAGATGCTGTCCCGTGCTTTCCTCACTGGCATGAGGAGGTTGGTACCTGCAGGAGCTGGGGACTGAGGCTCTCACACCTTGTCCCTGCCCCTCTGAGGAGAGTTCCCCGGAACGTGTCTCACTGACCCAGAAAGCCTCCCAGCAGCACTCACCTCCTCCCAGAAGATGGGGTTTGACTCATATCCCCCCACGGAGAGGGCATCGCCTTGCAGACGGAGATACACCGAGGCGTCGTGGTCCCGCACGTTGGGCATGTTCTGAACACCAGGGAGAGGGAGCAGAGGGCTGAGAGGGGACTGAGACCCACGGGGGGACCCCGACACGGCCCCAGCGAGGCTGAGTGGGGGTCCGGGGTGACCTGCAAGTGTCTCTGTGAATATTTCCCCAGCCCTGAAATTCGGGTGCCTGCCTGCCCCCAGAGGAGGGCACCCAGGGCAGCTCCACCCAGCACCACTGGGCAAGGCAGTGATGCTGCAGGCAGTGTGCCCAGCCACCAGCCACAGCCCCTGCACCCAAGCTGGGAGCCAAATCTTGCACTAATCCTCTGCTCTCCAGCAGATCCTCCGTGGCTCAGGATGCCCAGGGATGCTCCCGTGTGGTTGATCCCAGCTTGGAAGGCATCACTCCTCTGCCACCCTCCTCGGCAGGAGGATGCCACAGACCAACACACAGGCAGCAGCCTGTGAAGAATGAGGGATTTGTTCTCCTGAATAATGGATAGAGAAACGTTTAGATAGCTCAGAAGTATTGGTGTGGGGCCCTCCACGGTGCATGTTGACAAATGGAGCTAAGTGGATTGAACAGGAGGCACCGAGGTCTCCAAGTGCAGCCTCTTCTCTGCAAAGTCTCCTTCTCATCGTGTCTGTATGGCACAGCAGAGTCACTGGGATATGAATGTAATCATGTGCACCAGCACTCTTCAACACCTCAGACTGAAAAGTCAGACCCAGACTGTGTCAGCGGGATGGAAATTAAATAACCTGTCACCCTCAGAGCCCTGGCACCTGAGTGAGTGAGGAGCCCTTTGACTCCTGAGCAATTCTCCACAGCCAGGCGGCAGGAAAAGATTTCTTGGGAGAGTTTAGAAATGCTTGGAGAGCTCCAGCTCTGCCTTCTGGGGGCTGGGGCTTGTTCAGAAAGTGTTTGGCGTCTTAAATAATGCTGCTATCAGACACCAAACACATCAGAGACCCTACAATAATTCTACTGAGACAAAAAAAAATAAAAAAGAAAATGATCCTGCTAGTCATAACATTGAATATTAAATATGACTCTATTAAGGGTAGTCTGATAGACCTGCTAGGAGGAGAAGCTGCTGGGTGTGCACGTCCCTGCATGCAGATGCAGAGCTTGGCTTAGCTCGTGCTGAAGGAAGGAGAGTTGGGGGGGGTCTGGCAAATCCAGGGGGTCTGCCCAATGTCCCCCAGCTACGAGCAGCCACGTGGGACTGACCTGGATGCCCTCGATGCGCTCGGTCACCACGTAGGCGTGGTGCATGCCCACCAGTGGCACCTGCACCCCCGCCAGCCGGCCCAGGGCTCGTGCCCACACGCCTGTGGAGAGAGCACCCCATGCTGAGCACCCCTCTGTCCCCTGGGGACCTGCAGCACCCTGGGGGTCACCGCCAGAGCGGGGGGACAGGGGCTGGTGGAGGTCCTTGGTTCAGGGACGCCGAGCTGTCTCCTGCCCAGGTCCCCCACCTCCCCTGCCATGCTCTCTACCTGCACAGTTCACCACGCAGGGAGTCCGGATGGTCCCGTGGGCTGTCTCCACAGCGTACACCCTCTTCACCCCAAAATCATCAGCTCGGACTTGGATACCAGTGACTGGGCAGTTCTCAATGATCTGGTGGCAGAGGAAGGGCAGCAGAGTCATGGCAGGGTCGCTAGGGCTGTGGGGTGGCCCAGCTCACCTGACATCCACCCTCTAAGTCTGGGAAAGGTGAATCCAAGCAGTCTGGCCCTGGCCCTCTCCCTTTCCCCATCAGCTATTTCTGTGACCACTGGTAATAACTGTGTCCCTTAAACTGCAGGCTGAAACCACTGCCCTGTGCACCCACGGCCTTGAGGAGCTGATTGTGCTACCTGCACCTAAAACCTTCACTGTCCCAAGAAAACTGCCTTGAGGGCTGCCTCATCTTGCTCCTAAAGGACTTTTTTTTATCCCATATTTTCCGTGGATCTCATGCTTCCTGCCAGCTCTGGTGCTGTGACACAAGCAGCCATCAAAGCTGAGCAGGACGACCACCCTTCTTGGGCAAAGACCTGATGCTGCAGGACCAGCTCTGCTCCAGTGGGAAAGAAGGAGTTGGGCAAGGGAGAGGATGAATTCTCCTCTCAGGGTCAACAGGCATTAATTAGTAATGACTAATTAAGGATTACCGTAGCGCCCCTGGCAGTTGCTGCTCTGGCAAGAGTGGAGCAGGTCCCAGCTGGATCCATGGTGCCATCCTTGGGGACGTACAACGTGCCGTACAGGTCGTCGATGTTCATCAGTGGGTACAGGTCTTTGGTCTGTGCTGGGGTCAGGACGTAGGACTCCACACCATACACCTTCCCCAGCTGCCACCCAGACAAGAAATCCATGAGATCGAGCAGGTAACAAAAGCTTTGGTCATCACTGGGGCTACTGGAGGAGGAGGAGACCCCCAGGACCTGGTTATCTCCCAGACGAGGCAGCTCCTGCCCCAGGGCAAGCTCCAAATCCAGCACAGGGTGGGATAGTCCACACAGATTTCAGGGAATGTCAACCCATATTCCATGCAAGCTGCTTGTACAGCTGTAAAAATGATGCTACCACTATCTGAACGGACAAAAATCCACGCTTGGATTTAACTTTACCTACTTTGCCAGCATTTGGGCTGATTCCAGCAGCCTTACTGAAGCCAGGGGGCTGCCCTGGATGCCCAGCCAGGGCACCTGCAGCTCTCCAGGTGGGAAAGCAGGAAGGGATGGGCTATTGGGAGCATCCCCTGGGCCCCCCAGCCCTGCTGCTGTGGGTGGGAGATAAACACCACCTCCTGCAGCCCACCTGGCTGGGGAGGACACACCGAGGGGCTGCTCCCTTACCGACATGAGCCTCTTGTACTCGTCGAGGCGCTGCCTGTTGGAGGCGATGAAGAGCCCCCCGTTCTCCACCCAGCCCGTGTGCAGCCCCGTCTCGGCCGGCAGCTCCCGGCTGACCACGTCCCTCGTGTGGGCCAGCAGCTCCACTTCCACGTCGCTGGGACGCAGCTGCCACAGGAGACCTGGGGAGAGGGGGAACATAGAGCCCAGGGTGGGACAGGGAGCCCTGCCACCCCTCCGTCACCCAAAGCGGGGTGCAGAGAGCTCCGTGCGTGGCGTGGGGCAGCCTGTCGAGGTTCTTGCTCCATCTCCTGGTGATGTGGGAGAGCTACAAATCGTCGAGTTCTATCTTCCGTGGGCACTGAGAAGTGTGCTCAGCTCTGGGACTCTCAATATGAGGACATGGACCTGCTGGAGCGGGGCCAGAGGAGCCCCAGCAATGACCCGAGGGGGGAACCCCTCTGCTGGGAGCCCAGCAGGAGAGAGTTGGGCTGGGGCAGCCTGAGAAGAAAAGGCTCCAAGAAGACCTTCTGGTGGCCTTTCAATACTTAAAGATGACCTACAAGAAAGCTGGAAAGAGATATTTTAAAAGGGCATATAGTGGCAAGACAAGGGGTAATAGCTTTAAACTGAAGGGGGGTAGGTTTAGATTCGATATTAGGAAGGTATTTTTCACTCTGAGCGTGGTGAGATACTGTGACAGGTTGCCCAGAGAAATTGTCTCATCCCTGGAAGTTTTCGAGGCCAGCTTGGATGGGGCTTTGAGCACCCTGGTCTAGTGGGAGGTGTCCCTGCCCATGGCAGAGGAGTTTGCAACTAGATGAGTTAAGGTCCCTTCCAACCCAATCACTGTGTGATTAAATGAATGGGAAAACAAGGTTTCTGGAGCAGACTAACCCAAAACAGGCAAAACCCCCAAAATCTTGTTGAATTAACCTCTTCTAGCTCCGCCTCTCCCTGCCAAAGAAAGTTTGCTTAACAAATTAGAAAAAAGACAAGGTGTGAAAATAAGCTCTTTTAGTTTTCCCATCATCTTGTAAAATTTTTTTTCTTTTAAAGAAAAATTTTAGGACACTTCCTTAACAAAATGTTCTGCCCAAAGGAGAAAACAGAAACCCTGAATTTCTCCATATTTCAAGCCCAAACTCCCTGACGCATCCAGAGCTGGCCTGTGCAACAGACCCACCCC